CCGCACGGAGGCAGGAGAGCATGGAAAAGGCGTACCCAGAGCTGTACTGGAAAAATCAGAGTTGATAACTGGCGAAGGAATGTCAAGGCTCAGGACAATTGTTGCCAAGGTTCGACAGTGCAACAAATTGATGTTTTGGGCCAAAATTCACCTGTGATCAGCTGGTTCATACAATGTCTTTAAACAGACTCAATACAAAAATCTGCAGTTCAAGATTTGAAAGTTTTTCACTGGAAGGTCAATGTCTTCTTTAGCCTGGCTACTTCTAAACTGGGTAGAAAGTGTCTGTCCAACTACAAATTCTCATCTAGCAGCAGGACATCCAGATTGTCCTTGAAATGTCACGTAAAATGATTTGTACTCTAAGTAATTAACTTCTTTGAGGTTCTGATTGTTTATATATTACTACCAGCAGAGTATATGGCATTACAAGAGAGAACAGCATTTTGTACCTCGAATGTCTTGACTTCAAAGCATTTAAACTTTATAAACAAAGAGACATAGCCTCAGCCTAGCACCAAAGAAAGCAATTTATGTAAGCAGAAAGTCTGGAACAAATAATTAAAACATGAGACTAAACAAAAACATTTGTGAGTTTGTTGAAACAACTTTGAAATATAAACTCTTTTTTTGTGTGTATTTATTTGGACTTTACCTAAGGGTGCCCTCTGAGCGTGTTATTTCTTACTTGTGTTACATGTGGAAGTCCATCAGTGGTAGCCACCGTGGAGCTCACTCCACAGGCTCTTTTCCCTGCATGCCCATGCCTCGCCCCACAGGCAGCCTGGACGTGCCAACCTCTCTTCCAGGGTGCAAACTTTTATGCTAAACATCCAGGTGAAAACCTGCAGTAGCAAACCTGCCATTCCTCAGCTCATCGCAAACCACAGCTCCATAGTGAATACCTTTTTTTTTTGTCTTCTGTGACCTAGTAGAATTGTGCAAGATTTCTAATCAGTAAGTCCCTCAAAAACAGTTTCAGACGAAATACTCCATTTTAACATCTTCCGTCACACCTCTGTAAGCCACAGATCATGGCAACGTGCGGTTGGGAAAGATGTTACTTTACTAATTTGTCCTCTCATCCTGCATCCCGCCGGAGCTGAAGCAGTCCCTCAAGGGATGGCGGGGTTTATACCCAGCAAGCTACGCCACTGCAGCTTTTGCTACTTCAGGAGTAATGAAATGCAGCTCACCTCACCCCAGCACAGCTGCAAGGAAGCTACAGGACAGCTTGTTACCAACACTACTACCTGCTCCTCACCTGAATTTAGCGGTGCTTTGCCATCTCCAGCTCCTTCACGGTGGTTATGAAGGAAAAGGCGCCACTGCAGCCGTCAGCGCTGGCGTCACGGCAGCGGTCAAGCACGCAATGAGCAATGGTGTGGTGCCATCTCGTGGGGAGCGGGACAACAGCGAGGCTCCTCCACCTCCCCAAACCCCGGCATTAGGAGCGGGGGCCTCCACGTGAGGTCATCGGGAAGGGTACAGGGACGCAGGAAGAGGGAGGGAGCGAGCAGTTCCTTAACATCTGCCAAAGACAACTACAGGCACCGATTTATAAATTGTGTCAATTGCTACAAAAGCACTCACTCTACGGTGCAGTTTGTGACCAGTGACAGTGTCCAAAGATCAAACCATTTACAATCTAACCCACTGGGGGAAAACAGTAATTTCCACACAGATGATTTGGTGGGGAGCTGTATTTCTTGCAACAGAAAAGCACAGATCTGATGTAATCCTCTGTTCCGCCAAACCAGGGACTCCCCCGCGCTTCAGGAGACCTCAGCCGAGCGCCTGCTTTGCAGCTCTGCCCCAGAGCTGCTGTGCCAGCAGCAGCGCTCAGTGACAAAGCACTGGTCAGGGGACGGAAAAATCACACTGTACTTCCACTTGCATGGCAGAGATTTTTCACATTTTTAATATAAACATGAGTAACATTAGTTACTCTGGGATCACTCAGCTGCTTTAAAATGAACCATGCTCTGAACTGCTTTAAGATCAATGCTTTTCTACCAGCAGAAGAGAAGGACAACACAGCCATTTAACATCTAAACGTTACATCTCACAGTTGAAGTGGATTAACTTTAGAAGTCAAAGTCCTTTTCTGTACACAACAGAGCTGTGAGGCAGTTTATTGTTGTAACACATATCATTTTGCTATGAAGCGGTACAAAATCCTGGAGTAGGGAAGTCACAGACAAGCAGTGGCATAACCTAACTCTTCCTGTTCTAGCCCATGATTTTAAGCCAACAAAACTGTCAGGCAAGGCTGCAAAAGGAGAGCCCTCTCTATTAGCCCTCATGTAGTACAAACAGCTACTAGGAGAAAAGACGGGCATGTGGGATCCTGGAGAAAATTAGAGCCCAGCAGAGAATTGCTTGCAAAAGCCGATTTCTGTGTACTTACCCATGAACCGCATTCCCGACTTCGGGTTGCGTACAGAAGCGGTGAAACTCCCTGAGACTGACAGTCACCGGGCCGCAGAGGGCTCTATAGGGCCGGCCAGCCATCCCGTGTGCCAGGGTCCTGCAACCCGTGCTGTGGTGTCCTGTGGTGCCACAGCCACCTCCGAAAATCAGCTCAGGTATACTTAGTACAAGCTGCAGTCGTGCATTTTCAGTATAGGAACGCTCTTGCAATGCTGCAGGGTGCAAGACTTACACTGGAATAGAGCTCTGTGCCTTTTCTTTTTAAATAAAGGGAAGGGGCAGGAAGGAAAAAAACAGGAAGAACAGAACGACGGAAAAATCCATTTTGAGGAAGATACATTATAGAAAAAAATTTTAAGAGATTGACCTGTTTTGTTTGTCAAAACATTAAGAGTCACATTACACTGCTCTAAGCACCCAAGCAGCACAGACCTCCTCCTGGGAGAGAAAAGTACGCAGAGGACTTAGGGAACTAAAGCCAGCCCCATCGGGACACTGCAACCAGCAGTACCACCACAGTGATGCTGCAGGTTTTAATATCTTCTGGTCAAGATCGTGAGCCTTGATGGAAAATTTTGGCTTTTACATTTCCGAAATTAGGGCAGAAACGTGTCTGTAAAAGCCAGAGCAGCACATCATACATTATTATAACGTGCATAATACAATTACTTAAGGCTTAACACAGTTCTGAGAAAATGGACTGGTTTGTGGCAAAGCATCTTCCATTCCAGCCTACAAATACTGCTGACAGAGATGAAGATGCTAAATTCTTAAGGTCATCTCTGATCACACAGCGAAGGAAGGAGCTTTTCCTCAATTATCCAGCAAAAAGCTGTAACTACCCACTTTTCAAAATGGAATTCAGAAATTTAAAAATAAAAAAATCCAGTAAATTTACACTTTCCCCATTCTCTCTGCAAACTGATGGATTAAATCAGACGAGAACAATCTCAAAACCTGAGCAGCTATCCACATACTGGGTATTTTGGATTCACTAACAAGCAGCAAAGCATGGTGCCATGACCCTCCCCCCCACTGGCTGTATCACTTAACGACAGCATGGCTTCTGAACTCCACTATGTCTGACCATCGCAAAGTGGACGGAACAGAACAGCCTGACTAAACACAACAGGATTCACCTCCTCACATTCCTGTGAGGAGTGTGCAATGTTGTATTTAAAAAAGGAACACACTTTCTTTGTGGTAGAACTGTATTTAATTATTTTTCATACACAAATTAAGAAAACACACACACAAAAAAAATCATTATTCTAGCAAACTGAAATAAGCCAAACTAGCACAAACTAATATTTAAAAAATACTACAAAGAAAGATGAAACAGCCACAGTGGAAAGAATAAAAAGCTTTTCAATTCCATTTTCTGCAAAATTACACTCTGAATACCACCTCACACACATAAGAATGCTGCCCTCAATGGAAAAAAAAAATACAGCGCAGAATAGTTTTAGACCCACATATGATCAGAACACAATGGAGGTAAATTCACATTTGAAGAGAGCCATCACATTATTTTTCTTGTCAGTAACAAGATTATTGCACGAAAACAGTCAAGTGCTTTTTCCCACAAGCATTAATACTTTCTAAACACTAAGTACTTTCTTTCGATTTTAAAAGCGATGTCGTGTGGTTCCAACACTTGTTACTGCTCAAACACTCCACGTAAAACATACCAGTTTATACAAATGAAATGTGTTTACCTGATCAGCTGAATTCTTTCCTTCTCATGCATCAACCCCAACAATAATGATTTTGCTGTGCCAATCAGGCTTTGTGATTTCTGGTGACCAGTTTTGACTTCTGATGATGATGCATGAGAAGAAATCATAATCCAAGTGATACCCTGTCTTCACAGGACCAACAGGACAAAAAACCAATGAAACCTATTTCTCACTCAAGCAAGCTCACTATACTCTGATTATATTCTCAAAGTGCAAAAATAGGCTATCTATTGAGAACTGTGCTGTGCTCCTCACAGAACCAGATCTCAGAGCAGAACTGCACTTCAAGTAAGTTCACAGTTGCATAATAAAAAAGCCCCATGATCTTTTGGCTAATTTGTGGTCTTACTGCCCAGGTAGAGCTCTAGTAGTAGGCTACCTCAACCTAAAGCAATTTACCTAACCCAACAGTCAAATTGCTCCACTGAAGTGAGGTAAGGTAGAGTCCAGTTTTAAACAGTGGTCTGAGACTACAGAAAAGAAAAAAAAAAAAAGAAAAAAGTTTAAAAGAGAATTAATTTTAAAAAACCCACAACCACACATAAATTCTATTGGACAGACTTAAGAAACACAGAAAGAAAACATCTGACAGTCATGGTACAGACAGCCTTGAGAGTACTAGTTAGTACTTTTTTTTTTTTCACAATGATGAGATGAACAACAGAAAAGCATTTATTAGCACCAAAGGAAACACGGTATTTATCAATTTATATCTAATTCCCAGCTACAGAACACTTAGTTGTCAACTCCACCACCAACTCTAACACCTGAAACATATTAAGAACGGTATCAAGGTGGCAGTCAGATATGTTCTGGGTGACCGTACTGCTTCTTTCAAAACGCAATGGGACTCTACCGAATCAGTGTGACAGTGTGACTACCAAGGTAGCTCAGTTAAAACATTGTTTTATTCTAATCAATATTATTCAATATAAATATAAAAGTTGGACCAAGTTAAATAGAAAATATGGTTCCATATGTGCTACTCATGGGATCAGAAATGTTTGGGGGTTTTTATGACTCATTTTTCACAGCGTCAAAGTTGTCCTGAATGGTAGGGCAAAAGGCTAGGACAGCTGGCCACAGTCAGTAATGACAATCTTTTTAGAGGTCTTTCCACTCTTGGAACCAAAGCTCTCAATTTTTTTCACGACATCCATTCCTTCCTTTACATGCCCAAAAACAACATGTTTTCCATCTAGCCTGTAAAACAAATAAACAAAGGAAGTTTTACTTAAAACAACATAAAGACTGAACCAAACCAAGCTCAATGAAGCGATGTTAGCAGATCTTTATAGCTCTCACCCACGGATCAACTCTATGGCAAAGGCACAACTGAAATACTTTTAGCCCTGGACCTCAGAAGCATTATGAGGGACAGTGGCCTAGTTACCCTCGCAGCCCATCCTCTCTCAAGTAGCACCAATTTATTTTCCATTATGAGCCAAGTAATTTGGAAATTAAAACAAAAACCCCCAAAACCAAACAAAAAACCATCAACCCACAAACACAAAAAAACCCTAAGAAAATGCCAAACCCTGTGGATCCAGGCATCAATCCATCAGGTTAATATCCAGGGCTGGGAACCTACCAGTCAGTTTTTGCAGTGCAAATGAAGAACTGAGATCCATTTGTATTGGGTCCTGCATTGGCCATAGAAAGAACACCTACAACAGCAGCAGCAGCTTATTAGATTGGTGTAACCAGTAGGCAGTGGAAAAGACAATTTTTCTCTGCACATTTAGACTAAAGATGGACAGACAGAAGATCTGATGGTCTCACATTGTCCTCAAATGATTTCTAAAGCCAACTTTTTGTCTCTGACTGTTCCCTCAAGCCCAGCCTCACATCTTCCCACAGCAAGAATGTTAGTAATGTAATTAATTGTACACGTCCTGAATGTGATTAACATCAGGTAACCTCTACTGTGGTTCAACAGCAGCAGTAGTTTACTGTGATGAGGAAGTAACAATCCGAAAAAGAGACTACAGAATTCAGTTACATGTTCTTATGTATGGCTTTCCCTTTATTTTTTTCGTGATTTGAGCTTAAAAGGACGTGCCTATGTTATCTAGTAAATAAGAAATCCCAGATTGCTTTGGTTTACTTCTGCAGTAATCATCTAAATAAAAATTCAAGTCTATGACTTACAAAAGAAGAAAATAAAAGCAGTAATTTCACCTTTAGTACAATTTGTAAGTAAAATAAAAAAAACCCATACTATAAAAGGGACTGCGTGAAATAAAGTAAGAGCAAGAGCGGCACTGTCACCCGTTACAGACTGAGTTCTATTCGTACAATAATCTACGCAAATAAGCAAGTGCCAGGGACAACGCGTCATTAAACTTCCTTGGTATTTCTGTAACTACTAAGTGCCCCACACATCTAAAAAAACCCTTACCTTTTAAAAATATATCTTCATAGACAATGTTTCATTATAGGTTTTAGTCATCAGAAGGTAGAAAGAATATGTTTACTTACCAGGTCCTACATGCTTGAGTATGAAATTTTCATCTGGAAATCTACTGCCATAAATGGATTTTCCACCGGTTCCATTATGATTTGTAAAGTCACCACCCTGAAACAGGAACGGCTATTAACTTCACTAGCACACAAGCATTATTTTACGTCAGAAGTGATGCTATTGAAAATATACTTGCTTGGTCTAATTTAAAAGTAATAAAATCAGAAAATTTTCTTCAAGTTAAGAATGAGTGTGGTCACATGAGGATTTAAAAACATTTAACTAGATGAAGATACAATCAAGCTAAAAGTAAATTTCTGCTCCAGACATTGCTGATATTCTCCAATTGACATCCATAACTCCAACAATCACCTTTCTGTGTTACCAACCTTGTTCGCAAATGCAATTAATAGCCATAATTTTAAGAAATACCTCAAAGGCCTCAAAACAATATCACCCAAATTCATTACAATAGCCAAGACCTGAAAAGTTGTTGTGTTTTTTTCCTCTTTCTTTCTCCCAAAAGGTATAAATCAAAATCTCAGTTATTGCTGTTTCTAGGTTTTGTTGTTTAAGCGTTAACGCCTGAGCTATTTTAAACTTCCCTCAGCTACATGCTGTTTGCTGGGATAGATGTGACCACCTGCCTTACGTTAGAAACACAAACCCCAACAAACAAACTCCCAAAGGTGGCTACTAAACACTGCTTCCAGCAATCTGCCATCGCCTCTCCCAGCAGTGACACCACCCATACTGGCAAACAACTCGTACCTAACCAGTATTTCATGTGATGTTCATCTTTCCAGTATCACCTTGAGCAATCTATTACAGGTGGTATTATGACTACTCCCACGCAGTCCCAGAAGTATGCTCTGCATACTTCTGGAGGTATCTGAATTGCCAAGTTGTGGGTATGATGACTTCCAATTACGCTATACCAATTGCCTGAATCATATTAACACTCCATCTCAACAAGTGGAAAGGCCTCTACTGCTTCCTCTCACTTTAAAATATTTGAAACCTATGACAGTATTTCCACTTTAGTAATGATTGCCGAGTAACTCCTAAACATCAATTCATTGTCTCACCATACCACGGAGTCGACCATCTAGTATCCTCACTTGGGTCTATTTGTGGGGAAAAAACAAGGAGGCAAGGAGAACAGACTTACACAGAACTTCACAAATTAGTGGTAGAACTGAAGAGTAAGATTTCTATTTTTCTTATGTGTTTCTGACCCCAGCAAGACTTCTAAACTTTGTTTCTTTATCAGTATCACAAAACCTTAGTTTGCATTTGAAAGGCAAGAAAATAGGTCCTTTACAGCACACTTATACCCTTTCTGTTCTTAGAAATAGGTTGTAAGATTAGGGCCTCTTGTTCTGACAGCTGTATTTTTAGCTTAAAAAAATAAAAAAGTGAGGAGGGGAGACCATCACAGTTGTCAATTAATAAATAAAGTATGCTTATTATAACCTTCATCTTTTTTTTTTTTTTTTTACAGAGCACTTCTACAATGCAATGGTGTTAAATGTAGCTTCTTTTGAGAGAAGAGAGGACCACCAAGAATTATACAATCCAGTACACTACAGCAGCTGAGATCCTGCTCATCTGCCAAGCAGAGCACAAAAAAGGCTTTCACAAAGCCTTTTTCTGTGTTTTTTGTTGCTCCTGCCATTTAAGAAAAGATTGCTAACATGCACGGACTTTAATTCACAATTTTGATTCATCCTTTAAATCAAAACAAAATCAATTTCAGGTGTGTCACCCCAAAACTCTACCCCAACCTACCCTTTTGGTTCCCTCCTCCCCTCCGTATTAGGGAGGTGTACAGAAAAAAAAAAAACAAAACACATTCTCTATTGTGAACAGATTATTCCACTAGGAATAAAAAAGGGACACGTTGTTTTCTCAGCTCACTTAGAACACAAGATTCATTGTCATTCTACCCACAAATGCTCCTCCCAAGCAAGCGCCATTTTGCCAAATATGCCCCACACTAAAGAACACTGTTATACAAAAGCAGAAAGCTTTAAGCCAATTTTTTTTAACACAGTTTACACATAATTTACACTTACTTGTACAAACAATGTGCTAAGCAACAGCCACAGCAAAAAGATCAGAAATGCAAGTCATACTGTCACTTCTTTATTCTGTAGTTAGCAACTATCAGAGCAGAGCCACTTAAAATGTTACTACCTAGTCTAACGGGTTCTAAAAATGTATCAATAACGTACAGATAAATTTAATAGCAAAAGTAAAACCACCCAAAAAACCCCACCAAAACAAAAAAAACCCCATTACCTGGCACATAAATGAAGGAATCACTCTGTGAAAAGTGGATCCTTTATACCCAAATCCTTTTTCACCAGTACAAAGAGCTCTGAAGTTTTCTGTGAAAACAAAACCACGTGTTATGTTGCCATACATGGCATATAATGTAATCAAACACAACTAGATTAACTATGTCCCAAGTTTATACACTTAAAAAAATTTATAAACTGTTTAAGGTATTTTTGATTTATTAGTTGCTTCCATGCTTTAAAAAAACCCTCTGTTATAAAGAAACAAAGCTTGTTCAGCCTCAGAACAGGGTACAAACACAACCCTTTTCCATCTAATTTTCCTTTTATTTTGCTGTTGTATCTTAACTCCACTCCCCACCTCCCCAAACCCACCACTCTGGAGTCAAAGAATTCACTTAATGACTTTTATGCCTTTGCTCTCTACAGTAATTGTGAAGATGATGCCTGGGTTTTTTGTTTTTTTTTTAAAAGCACATTCATCTACTGGAAACTGAAAGAAAAGTACAAGTTTTTCAGACCCACTAAACAAACAGATGAGGAAGGAAGCACCTGATAAAACACAAAATTGGTCAGCTTGTGAAGGAAAACAAAACCCTGTATGCTCTTTGGAAACTCTTAAGGAACACCATCCCTTTGGTCTACCCTTTCCCATTGCTTTGTGGTTTGATTTTAATACAAACTAACGTGTTTTTAAACATATTTATTGACCACTAATAATCAAACATATGGACTGTATCGCCTTGATACAAATTACAAAATGAAACTATTTGGAAAAACAACAAATCATAACTCCACACTCGCACTGTTCTGACAAAGTTCGTATCATGTTTCTCTATTTAACAAATGGGAAGAGAACATAGGAATAGTTTCCAAAAGGTAAGAGAATGTTCTTGTTCCTGAAATCACAATCTAAACCTTAAATATTTAAATATTAAATTCTGGAGATGCTGCCTTACCTGCTGTCTTTGGAACCACATCAGCTTTCAGCTATTAAAGAAAAATAAACAAATTACTATGTTGTTTTCTTCATACATACATAGAAAAACTTTTGCATGGGAGGCTGGTACAACTGAACCCTCTTCCCAAGGTGATGAGCCATCTGAAATCACAAGCCACCCAAAACTCCAAGAACACCGTAAGACTTTCCAAGCATTTTGTTAGTAATTAAAAATATCCCCTCAATGCAACTTTTAGCTAGTTATTGAAGAGCAACTTGAGCAGTGTCTAATGATTTAACACAATAATTTAGCAATAACTAAGAAGAATCTTTATGATAAACCCTATGAATCAAAGCTAGCTTGGATACAACTGGAGAGATCAGCCTCCCCAGCACACAGCCATCCACTGAAATCTGCAGAAAAGGTGAAGTACAAAGAAGAATAGAAACTGTCTATCAGAATTGACTCATGATGTTATGTACCCATGTGTTGCCAACAAACATTTCTCATTTTCATTAGTATGCATCTTTTCACTAATCTTAAAAATGTATGATATTATAATTGCCTGGAAAAAGTGACATAAAAATGGCCAAATTGGGTCAGACCAAAGTTTTATCTAGTCACTGACAGTGGCCAGCAGCAGACACCTAGAAGCAGCATGGCTGTGGCAAGAAATTCATGTTCCTTCCCTAGGGTGCCTATAACTTGCAGCTGATTCTAACCACAACTTGGCCAAAGATTCAAGGCAATGATGCAATACATTCAGATATTCTGTTAAACTAAAGATCTTTAACATAGAAATGAAATGCTGCCACAAGAAATACAGTAACATTAATACTATTTTTTTGTAATACCATCCAGCTATTTACTAAATCTCCCTGACGAATAAAGTGCTTGCACAGCAATGTTCTTACCTATGACTACCTCAAACACCGCCTCAGGAGAACGTGAGAGCTGGTAGTGTCCAATTAATTTATGTGCTGACACTTCCGGGCTCTAGCCTCAAGGGAAACCCTTTTAGACAGAACCCTTACGAACTACATTTAAAAAAAAATTAAAAAATCTGTCGATACAGACTAAGGCAGAGGCCCACACCTAATCCCCTCAGAGAGCAGCAACTCAGAAGGGCAGCACTCCCCCTCCAGCGCATGGCTCTGGAGCTTTCTGCTGAATGGGTTTGCAGACTTTTTTTGTGAACATTTAGCATTTCAGTATTTTCTTAATTCTAACTAGCTGTGCAGCACTGCGCTCCTTCCCGCACGCAACACGTTTACTCAGAGGCATGTACCCAGCCCTAAGGACGCGAGGTACCCCGCAGCCAAAGTGTCAGCGCTCATCGTGCTGCCCGCAACAGTGGAGCGTGCTGCAGTTTTCCTGTTCAGGCCTCTTTAAATAGTTGAGTATTTCAGAGACTGAATTTTTAATGGTAAAGCTGGTGGCTAGCTGGCTGTTGAGCTAGCTGCCGGTTCAATCAGAGCTGTGTAAACCTTGCAATGCGCATGAAGCAGAAAGCTCAAAGAGACAGTACCTCTGAAAACCAAAGAATAAGAATCAAACAGTGAAAAATAAGAATCAAACAATAAGGACCCAGGCAAAAAGGAAAAAAAAAAAAAGAAAAAAAAAGAAGAAAACC